CAAGAACAGGATCCTGGGCCTTCACCACAGCAGGACCAGTCCCGTGCCATTGGCTTGTCAGATGGATCTTGTATTTCTCTGAGAGTAGCAGTGTCATTTCTATGGCAAAACTTTTAGGCAACAGCACCTAAAGCAAAAGTAAATGTTAAAAAATTTTACATCTGAAAATTTTATTAAACTATAAGCTTTTAGGTGCCTAATGTTGCCTGTAAACTACTGAATGAGCTGAGCGCTAACAGGGATGCACGCTAATAAACCCGCTATCATGTCCACTTGCCAAATTTTTTACCTGGTGTTAATGGGTTAAAATAATGTCCTCCCTGGAGATGGTGCTCTTCAAGTCATAGTTCACGGATGGTACATTCCACGTTCATTTACCAACGGATATAATGCATGTGACCATTCCTAAATGCCCACTGAGTCTAGTCGTTCTCATCATCCCTGCCCTCTGATGGTTATGTCACCCGGATCCAAAAGGTAAATGATGAAACATAATGATATGATATTTTCTAAATAATACAAATAATACCCTTATAAAATCATGTTACTTATTAACCCTTTCCTATTATCATCATTTTTGCTTTATTATTTTTTAAGAATGATAAAATGCCATTTCCCTATTATACTTATGATAGTGATCAAATGTTAAGTAAAATGCTACAATTTGATTATTTCATTTAAAATATACATACCAGATAAGGCCATTTCTTACAGATTACTTCTATATATCTTTCATGATATAATGCCTTCAGATGAAAATTTTGACAATTCTATTTTAATACTTACCTGCTGATATAGTAAGGAAGAACTAGTAGAGATGCACAAAATGCAAATGTCCCCAGAAAGACACTATCCTCTGCTGATAGTGCCAAGTACCGGCCAACTTGAGAAAACCTATAGGGAGCATTGTGTAGCAGGACACTCACTATATGAACCATCACAACTGTAGGAAATCCACCAAGAAGACCGTAATCAATCTGAAAAGATGAAAAAAACAACATGTATATGTTAATGTGCGCATACACACACACACACATTTATGAAATGACAGAAAAAAATGGTAGACAGATAGATACATATACACAAAGCCCTTAATGCAGCAATCAGGAGTGATAAATTGCATATCCAAAAATTATATATAAAACTCAGAAACATGTATTTTTTAAATATTTTTTGTAGCAGTGTAAATACGGCTGTGCAAAATAAGTAAAAAAATTTCAACTGAAATCATTTATGCATCTAAACTTCTGTAAAGCTTCATGTATATATGTATATTTTTTCCCTTACTAAGGCCATGAGAGCTTGAATTTCTGACTTACTAGAGCTGACATGTTCATAGAATAAATGAACAAAAAAGTGCCACATCTTTTTCAAAAAGGTCTGGGAGATCAAATACTAAAAACAGTCACACAAGTCTTGCTTATGGCCTTGTATCTTCAATTCTTGGTTGCCTATCATCTGCCTTGTTGAAACAGCCTGGATTTATCAAATGGCAGTAATAACAATAGTCTAGCTCCTTGAACCTTCACTGGTGTATACTCACCTTCTTCACCTTCTCTTGTTCTTGTTGCTCAGCTGCACAACTTGTGGAGTACCACAGGGCCAAAGCCTTCACCAAAATCCCACCGGCAATCATCCCAAATGGGGGCATATACACTCCTGGCAAACACAACACTTCCATTATTAAAGGACTGACTGTTATGGTTAAGCACATTCTAAATTTTGAAATAAATCAATAAATAAAGGAGTGTGTGTGCGTGTGTTTGTGTTGTGCTAGTGCTAGTGCTAGTGCTAGTGCTAGTACTGTGCTTGTGTTTGTGCTGTGTGTGTGTGTGTGTGTGTGTGTGTGTGTGTGTGTGTGTGTGTGTGTTGTGTGTGTGTGTGTGTGTGTGTGTGTGTGTGTGTGTGTGTGTGTGTGTGTGTGTGTGTGTGTGTGTGTGTGTGTGTGTGTGTGTGTGTGTGTGTGTGTGTGTGTGTGTGTGTGTGTGTGTGTGTGTGTGTGTTGTGTGTGTGTGTGTGTGTGTGTGTTGTGTGTGTGTGTGTGTGTGTGTGTGTGTGTGTGTGTGTGTGTGTGTGTGTGTGTGTGTGTGTGTGTGTGTGTGTGTGTGTGTGTGTGTGTGTGTGTGTGTGTGTGTGTGTGTGTGTGTGTGTGTGTGTGTGTGTGTGTTTGTGTGTGTGTGTGTGTGTGTGTGTGTGTGTGTGTAAGAGAGAGAGAGAGAGAATCTGCAGTCTATAGTATATATATGTAATAATGAATGTGTGTATGCATGTATTTCAGTAGCTAAAGCAGGTCCCCAACCAGTGTTTAGTTTTGCAATATTATAAATTCTTAAAGTTTACTGCCTTTGTTTAAAATTTCAATGTCCTTAAAAAAGTACAAACATCTGGTTACCTTTCTCTAAATTTACTTACTCTGTAATTGACAAATAAAATCTGATGCAAAAATTTAGACCAATGGACAATCCTGATTCTGTGACATGTATAACATAAAAAAGAAACT